AAATCCAGGCGTGATTCAGTGTGAATTGCGTTTTTGGGTAAAATCCTAGATCATGAATTATATGTACCTGTTGATGTACAAGTTCAATACGTACGTATGTTACTAGCAGCTCGTAGCAAAGTGTGTAGTGAGCATTGTGTTTCAAACAATGATTGAGCGCGTCCATTGTGTTGAATGTGCGGACGAAAGAGAGAGCGATATACTCGCGATGATTTATGTGAGTTGAGCTCGCAGTGTCACAGCTGCGCTGCGTGTGCGCGATCAGCTGACGCTGCGGCGGCCATCTTGCTGTGCGTGTTCGTTGTTGCCGCGTCATTGTGTAGTTGATGACGCAAAATTCTTCCTTTAAATGCTAATGTCATTGTCCTTCCCGTCCTGGCTATTTGCATTGTCACCTTATTGGTTATTGAACGTACCATTTTGAATGATGAATTCATTTTCTGTGGCGCTTGCTGGCTTGTTCCTTTGTAGTTTAACCACGCGGAACTGCGGAAGATATTGTAAGACCCTGGCTGGTTCTATTTTTGGTCAGAAACGTTTCCGCTAAGATAGATACACACACATTCTACTTGGACACGGACAGATGTTACTTTATATACCTACCTACTGTTTATGCCCGGCAAAACATCGTTGACCTCGATAAAAACGTCATCGTTTCCTTATAATATGTGTTGTTTGTTTTTCTTTATATATTTTTTTAATAACTTTCTAACATTGGTTGGTATGTGAACTTATTTTATAAATATATGTATAAATTCAGGTGGACATTATTGTGACTCTAGGCAACCCTTTTGCTATATTGTCAAGGCAGACCTTTCATTTTATGAACTGCTAGGTTTATCGGGTACTTATAATATGATGGCGGGGAATCAGGCCCTTAATGTATCAGTGGTAAGCATACGCAAATATTTCATCATGATAAAAGGAATCGTATGTGACTAACAAAACGTGAATTTTATTCGGCTAGCCTAGGTGGAATTGTGTACAATAGAAGAGTCATAGTAGTTGCAGTAGTTGGGTGGGAAGGAAGGTAGCTAATACCCGAGACAGCCGGGTTTTCGTCGGATTTTTCTTGAGCTGCACGATTTTTGTGTCTTGTACCGTTACTGTTACCGTTGATCAAGTGGTCAGACCTGTATCTTGTTTCAACCAGACGTAAATTCGAGCAATGTACTTATATATATAACTGAGTCGAGCTTTTATCTGTCGTATGGGGTTAGTGTTGACCTACATAAATATATGTAAATAAATATATGTACTGTTTGTGGGAGATAGCCTGAATATTAGAGGACCACAAATACCAATATAAACTTCTGCTGTTTTAATTCGATGGTTTATTTTTTCATAATAATTATTAATTAAGGGAAGAAAACACTGAATAGGGGTGTTGTGTAGTTACAATCGGGCCAATTGTCCGACTATTCGTTTATTTCTTTGTGATCGGTACCAAGTGGAAAAGTGATGTCTTTAAAGCAAGCGCTGATTGTTTGCTTCAAAGTTTGCTTTGACTGAACTCTGTTTTGACCGATTGCAGCTTCTGCCTTTTGATTTTAGATGATCAAACAGTGAACATCTAATAGATTTAAATATTAGATGTTCACTGTTTGAATATAATATAGAAATCTAGAGATCTTTTGTTAAAAATATATCAAAGAACCAATGCTAAATACTCATATAAGTTGGCTGAAATTGAGTCGGAGCGAAAATTGGAGATGATCCTACTTTTCTCCAATAGCTACACTTTTACGGCGATGACGTCATATGCTTAGTCAACTGGCCATATGTCTCTTTTCTGAACCTACAGCTAGGTACATTTAATAAGTTGCATTAAAATGTATATCGGTTGTTATTATGTCCTTTGATCATGTCTTTAGATGTTTCAAAATTTACATCGATTGTAATAATAACAGCCAGACATACTAAAGCAAAAAGGCTAACTGTAGTTGCTGTGTTTGTTCGAATACCAATTTCCGGTTCTTCACAATCTGGTTTTTCACCATAACTGTACCAGACTGAAAATAATGTGCATTGTATGTACGTAATGGAATAAAGTTATGTCAAACCATAGTTGCAAGACACGCTATTAGGAATACAGGTGACAGAGTTATAAACAGTATGCATTTTCTTCATCCAACGTTACTAACATGCATGCATTCAATTCAGTGGCCGTTGTCAAATTTACGTTTTTTATAATAACATCGTGGATACTATGTTATTCCCCATCTTCACCTACGGGTCCTATCTACATACATGACTTGTTTTTTTTTAAACTGTTCGTGGGTGGTACATTAACGGTTGACTGGTGGTATCATGGCTCAGTAGGAGTGGGGTGTCGCGGGCACATGTGTTGTGACAAGGGTGCAGTGCTGTCGGTGGGATCTAATGTCGTATGTCTAAATGTATGTGTGTGTGTGTGTGTGTGTGTGTGTCGGTGCACCGCGAAGCGGGTCGCGCTCGAATTGCGTAGCGAACACTCGGCAACTGGGTCAGCGGGGCACGGCTCGCCACGGCCCCGCCGACGCTGTCGTCGCGACGTATCTCATACACACACCAACAAACGCGCGCGCCTCATAGCGCCGAAGACAAGATACCTTACTACGTATCTAGCTCTCGGCTCTACAATGACATATTCACAAGAAAAAATAACACATGATTTAAATTGAATTCGTTTGATTGTATTATAATTTGATGTTAAGGTTAGGTAGAGAATCTTGATAACAGGTAGTTTAAACTGAAAGCGTGAATTTGGCAACTGTAAACATGGCCGCTTTATTGCTATAATTGAACATCATGTTTCCTTCTACTAGAATAAGTTGATAGTCGCCTTGGCATACTTAGTATCAATATTACTTAAAGTTGTTAATTGCTGCGTGCAACCCGTCTCTAATTTACCGAGTTATTTTCATACCAAATTAATTGTTGCGATAATTTCAATGCACCATTTTAAGTTGAGACAAAATTTAATCTAGTTTACTTTTTAAATTGCTTTTGTTGTGTACCTGGAAAACCTTTTTTTTATCTTCTTGTGTTATGTTTTAAGGAATTTCTAAAAACATTTATTCATTTATTTGTGTTTTCAAACAACGCAAAACATTGGTTCAATTATAATTTAAAAACCAGAGAATTTATGATACGTGGTTCATAGATGTTTACGTTTCTAAAACACGTTCACGTTGACAAAGTGATCGAATTCCATCGAATTAATTCCTCAGGTAATCAGTTAGTCTTGTCAGCCTTTCTCTGTCACGTACATTGTGGACTTTGAACGTAGTTGCAGTATGCAGTGAATGTGATATGATGCGTCACTACATTAATATATATAATAAAGTGAACGCGGGTGTGCGCGTGCGCCGACGCTTTGCACCCCTGCGTGCAGCCCGGTCGATGACTCCCCAAGTCCCAGGCCCGGTGCTAATGACCTTCCACTCTCAACTCGTTAACATTGTCAATGGCAATTTTTGTACATTGTATGAGGCGTTCAATCTCATCTAGTCGACATAAGTTATAGTTAGTAGTGTATGTAACTTGTCTTACAATGAAGAAGACGTAGGTAATTTCATTCTACGCATATTTTTAATAGGTTAAATCTTCAACTCTTCTTATGATGTATGTTAGCACGTTGCCTGATAAACGGGACTGTTACAGCAAAAAATAAATATTTTCTTCGGCAACCGCTCCTGAGGTTGGTGCAAGAGATTACCGCAATATCGATTTATTTCTTTGTCGATATTGTTGACAAGAGGCATGCAAGTGTTGTTGGTTTAGCGACCTTGGCGTGGGGCGCGGGGCACGCGGGTGATCCGTTTTGCGGGCACGTTCCACTTTAGCGTTAGCTCTCTCTTGTTACGCAAATCTGTCGTTATGCATATTATGTTTGCTTCTACGAAATCATATTCTACGCCTAATTCCACTTTCTACGTGATAATCATGCTTTGTATACTGATACATGCGTTGCCTTGGAGTAAATGTTGCATTTGGTTGTTCCTTGTTTGTAGTATTATCATTTAGGGACGTCTGGACATACCTGTCCATGATGATGATGATGAACTCTTTAATAAAGAGGTGGTTTGGTTGTTACAGGGCCCACTACGATCCTGACATAGAAGGAATTGCAGCTCGTCGACAAGGAAAGCCACTAGCCGCGGACACAAGCCAGAGATAATCAAATCTAAATTGAAACGTTACTAAGTGCAGCATACTTGCCGTTACAATTGTGGAACACTGTGTGTTACGACAAACAAGTGCAATATACTATTAGTGCAATCCTATTTTTGACTACAAACTCGAGTGAAGTGACTTTATTATTGACTTTACTATTAAAGTGAAATTAAATAGTGGAACAATGGAGCGCGAATCGAATCCGATGGAAACGTTGTGCCGCTCAGGGTGCGGATTTTACGGAAATCCCTCAACAGATGGACTCTGCTCAGTATGCTTTAAGGTAAATATCTTAATCTTAGTAGCTTTAAAATCATTAAACATAAAATTCATTGAATCACGTTTATTGTCATAAACTTTTGGAATAATAATTTAAGAGAAGGTTGAATGTCTGGTTTGTATAAACAATATCCAGTCCTTATTCAAAGAATCTCTCATCATCCCTTATGACGAAAGAAAAGTGAAACGAAACTGCGATAACTATCCACAATTTCAACCGGTAACAATTATTTATGAACGTTTTAACGACGTCGACCACGCGTGCTTACTGTTTTTTGGCCGAATAAGTGCTTATTGTACACACATGAACACGTCTATGTCATTGGTGTGCATGAGACAGCATGCAGGTATGCGATGGTCACGTTTTATGCACTGTGGGTGGACGATTAGTAAGTGGCCAGTATGCAATACATTTTTATAACATTGTTTTGTTGACTTTCCAGGAAGCTTTAAAGAAGAAGCAGCAGCCACCAGCGTCGTCCCCGTCGCCCGTGTCTGCGCCCTTCGTGGCGACGCCCTCGACGCCGCTGGCAGCCGCCGCGCCCACCGTGCCCAGCCTGCCCGCCCAGCCACAGACGCATACAGACGTGAGGCCGCACTTATCTTACTATCCTCTATTTACCCCACACGCATCGCTATTTCATTCACGGTTCCTTGTTTCCAATAGGCTTTCCCAAAACATTCACAAAGACATCAACTTCACGCTTTTTATCAGTTCTAAGAACTTCTAGATCAGCCCAAAAACTGTACTTGCTGAGTCATACAATTCACTTCACAGTAAACATACATAAAAGTACTCATTAAAAGCCTTATCATTCTTATATCAACATAAAGAGCAATTAATGAAGATATTGTAAACCTTATGATAGAATTTCATTATTTGGTAATGAGGTAACTAATTGATATCTGTAATTTAGGTTCTAATTTGTGTTTTCTTCAAAGAAAACATAAAAATGTCTCTAAGTGTCAGATTAAGTGACAAATAAAATGCAATAGCCATATAATACATACTTTATCATGAACTATGTTATACAATAACATTAATTTAATGCTACATTTTATATGGTGGTGTTGGATTTTTGTTCCAATTGCATAACAGGTAAGATTGATCACATTAAATGAATGTATATAAATATCGCTTTAGTTGCAAATGTACCTAATCGATACTAACAATAATAATTATTCAAATAATTATTTAAAATTGTTTTAATGCCATAATAAAATGTTCTTGATAAACTTCTTTGTGATATTGCGGTAGAAAAACAAATGATGAACTGTTGTGCTGATATAATTCTTGCCGAACTGATAGCGTTTTAGCTACGTATAGCTGTGATGACATCATTTAAATGATGGCAAATAAAAATGATTCGCCATTTTGAGATGCGACATTTGAATTCATTTATAATAATTGCAGTTGTAAGTTATTTATGTTCGCGCATCGCTATATAGAGTAATGTCAGATTGTGTTATCAAGCTGACGAGTGACACTGCAGTAACACGTGTACGTTGTGTAACGCAGGAGTGTGGAATAGTTTATGTGACGCCGCGCATAAGCAATCAATACCGAAACTTAAGTAAACCTTGTAATTTATTCGTTTTACAATTGTATTCAGGTATGGACAAAATATATAATTGTGTCCATGATGTTGTCGTTTGTGATTGTACCTACGATATCGGCTCTGTTTGCTACCATCTATGTAAAAACTGTTTGCTCGAGAACCAAAAACCACTGGCAGTCGTAATTATTTTTAAAACAAAAACCTACGTCAGGTTGACATTGCGTGAACGGCAGGAAAACCAAAAAATATTGCTTTGACTCAGTTATACAAACATTTTGTTTATATATGATATTTTTTTTACAAAAGCAGTTGTTTGTTGGTTCGTAGCTTTTAAAATGTAATATTTTTGATATGTTTAGTCCCTCGAGTCATTGACTTGAGATGAGGGGCACCTTTACATCGTAACTAAAGTGGTTATTGCTCTGGACGATTAGAATACAAAGAGATAATAACACATTTAATTCATATCTTTGTTGTTTGAAATAAAACAAAAATAGCCACAACAAAAAAATCTTTATTGTGAAATCGGGTGTTCTGTCAACAATGGTGATTTGTAGTCAAAATGCACAACCTGAAGTCTACAAAAAATCTGAATAATGGAAAATGACCCTAGTAAAAAAGAGTCGAAGGGTAAGAGAATATTCAAAAAAGCAATTCGTCGCATTAGTAAATCTAACAATAGTAGCCAGAACTCTGCCTTAGAACAAGGTATTGGAGTGACACGATCCAAAAGCTTCGAGAATAAACGTCTCTCCATAGAGATTAATGACAGTGCACCGCTGCCGACGCCTGACGGCACCAAGGAAAAACCAGATGCCAGCCAGAAGATTAAGCTTGACGACCACGCGCAGAATGAGTCCAATCAGGATCCAATCAAAGTTGCGGCAAAAGTGGGCATAAAAGAGCATAAAGAGGCTCCTTCTGGATCTAATAAGGGCGTAAAATTATCTTCTCCGAAGCTCGAGATTAAAAACCAGCGCCCTTCGGATGCAGAGAGCGGAAAAAAGAACCTTAAAAGGGTTGGTCTTAAGTTGTAATAAATCGATATACGCAGATTGAACACTGGGTCCCGATTGATGTGGGGACTTTTACTCCTGCGTTTAGTCTTGATCTCGATAAATAAGCGAATTGTTTTTATTTTGCAATACTATTACAAGAATCGCTACAAATATTGTCAAAGTTACCGGTATTGCATTTGACCTACTAACAGTCGGGGTTTGCTTTTCAGTAAATTCATTGGCTTACTTCATAATCCTAAGAGTGAAAGATATGCAATCTCAAATTATTAACGTATTTGTGTTAAATTTCAGAAATTGGAAGAGGAGAGTGGAGCAGGCACAAGCGGAGCGAGCACTGGTGCGTCAGACACTGATGCCGACGACAAGGATCCTAGCAAGGACAAAAAGAAAAAGAATAGATGCGCCGTTTGCCGCAAGAAGGTTGGCCTCACAGGTAAAAAAGTGTTCCTTTATTTTATTCAATTTCTCTATTATATCTTTTGAAAATAGTTAAAATTTTTGTAAAAGTTAAGTATTATTTTTATGAAGAAAGTTTCTTAAAAGTGTGTGCTCAACATCCTACATTTAATGAAAGAATTATCGAAAAATGTTGATAATCTGATTAAATGCAATATGTCTTTACGGTTTTATGTCTTACATATTATCTGCTTTACATAACTTTTTGGTTGATTACACGAATTTATATTGGGTGATATAATATATATTATTATATATATATCATAGCCATCTCACCCAATATAGATATATTGGGTGAGATATAAACGGTAGAGAAGTGGCGAGTACATGCATGATGTTGGCTCAGGGTTCGAGTGCCGCTGCGGAGGGCTGTTCTGCGCCGTGCACCGGTACAGCGACAAGCACGAGTGCTCGTTCGACTACCGGGAGCTGGGCGCGCAGGAGATCCGCCGCAACAACCCCGTGGTGGTGTCGCAGAAGATACACAAGATATGAGCCCCTCCGCCTGTCCTAGGACTACACCCTCACCGCACCGCATTACATACGTTTTATGATTTTCTCTAAATAAATATTCGATCGAGTTTGTGTTTCTTATTTGCATTTTGTATGTATTTTCGACTGCAGGTCGACGACGTCGTGCCGTCGTTCGTTCTCTTTGTTTCGTTTATTTTATTTGACGAGAGCTCCTTTGCCTCGCGACTGACACCGTTATTCGGACGAATGCGACAGCGTAGGAAACACAGACTCGATCTACTGTATTTAGATTTATTTGTGGCGAGAGTTTTACTTTTAAATTTTTATTAAAAGTTGTAGATAATGTTCGTTTCGGGTAGGCTTTCAGGATTAATTTTTGAGATAATAAGTAGAGTTTGAATATTGTCCGTTCACCTCCATTGTAAATATTAGATATAATTAATTATAGAAACAAATCCTATATATTGTAAAAAATTAAAACTCCCAAAAAAAACCTACATTGTTATGATTCCAACGGAGAGCGTAGCGCGCTTGACCATATCGACGTAACAATGGTAGTCGGAGCCGACTCAGCCGACCGCGGCCGGGCTCTTCTCTCCGTCGATCGCCTAGTTGTACATTGTAAGGAGTTCGCTGCCGCCGACTTGACTCGTGTTTGTGACAAACATTCGGACCGTGATAAGAGTAGCGAAGCTCCGCAGGCCGCATCTGTGCTAGACAACGATTAGTTCGCGACTGCACTGCGCCGACTCGGGACTGTGAATTAACATCATCTTCAAATTGTTAGTAATGTTATTTTGGTTTGGGAAGTCGTCGCTTTCTTATTTGTCTTAACATTCGGCATAAGTGACTAGTGTTTAGCGAGATTGTGGTGTGTATCGGCTAAGTGAGCGCGACGGCTGCGGGCGGCCGGCCCCGGCCCAGTGCTCGCTGGGTCCGCCCCGGGTTCTATATCCAGCCCCGGCCCCGGCCCAGTGCTCGCTGGGCCCGCTCCGGGTCCTGTATCCAGGCCCCGTCCCCGGCCCAGTGCTCGCTGGGCCCTCCCCGGGTCCTGTATCCAGGCCCCGTCCCCGGCCCAGTGCTCGCTGGGCCCGCCCCGGGTCCTGTATCCAGCCCCGGTCCCGGCCCAGTGCTCGCTGGGCCCGCGTGCGCCATGTTGCCAATGTCCGTGTTACATATACGCCAGCCGCTCCCACGCCGCTCCGCTCTTTGTGTGAAATTTTAAGTAAGCATATGGATAGTTATAAAATATTATAAGTAGTCGACACTTTATATTATTACACATATAAGTAGAAAAAGAATTATTTAGCTTTTTTCTTTTAATCACAATATTATTCAAAATTGTAAGTTGTATTATGTAACTTGTTCATTTAGTGGTGAAGTTGAATCAATAATACCTATGTATCGCTTCGGTCGTTGTCCACAGTAGACTAAATGATTGGTTGGACTTAATTATTTAATGACTTTTGTTGTATATTTTGTTAGGTCATTGATTAATTTTGGTCTTTTCGCTTGAACATAATCAGATAAAGATGATGTTAATGAATGATTTTCCTTCTATCTTGCTGTTTTAATTTAGTTATTCTCTTATTAAAGTCATTAAATTTTCAGGAACATATGTATGTTTTTATTTCAATTAACCCACTAGATAACTTTCATATTAATAACACAATTTTCTTTATTTGAAATTCTTATTTCGAGAGGAACCCGTTTTATCCTAATATGACTGTCGACAAAGTATATTATTATCATCTGTACGCCACAAGGCGAGGCGATCAACCTCTTACTATTCTTCAAGGAAAAAATGTTGATATTGTTGATTGCACCAAATATACGTTTGCTAATAAATTCACTGGGTATGTTTTATTGACCTTGAAACAACCGTGGTCCTCATGAAACAAGAAAAATAATACTTTTTATGAAAAACTAGCAGCTCGTCCCTCCTTCGCACGGGTCTCATCATCATCTCGCTTTTTCTGTCATAAGAACATTGTCCTGACAATAAATAACACACAAAAAAAACAGAATTGGTCCAGGCGTTATTGAGTTATGCGCTTACCAACATATTTTGCGATTCATTATTTATATAGATATAAAGTTGTTACCTAGGTTAGGAGGTAGTTACAAATGAAGTGCTAAATTTTAATAAAAAGATGAACTAGTTAACACCTACAACTAGGTGAAGCCGACTTGGTCCAGCCGCGTGCGTTCGTGCAGCGGAATGTTGTTGAATTTAAAGATTTTAAGTATGCAGATATTTAGTGTATGACGTCGTTTAATTGTGTATGGTAAAAAAAATTTGTGCACGCAACCATTGTGGAGAAATTCACCAAAAACTGATTCCGCTGGGCGAACGTTGTCCTGGCGGAACTTTTTTTAATCCATAGACTTTAGAAGAAAAGAGATGTATCCAAAAATTAGTGTGTATTTGTGTGTAATTGTGTATGTATGAATAAAATTAGTGCATGCATAAACTTCGGAGAAATTCAAGTTTCCGCTACGCGAACGTTTGGCCATTAGCTAGTTTTCATATAAAGCGCTTACATAGAGAGCTGTAGATTTTTACATACGTTGTTTTGAATTTGTTTATATTTGTTTAAAAAACAGATTTAGAAAAAATCGTAGGGTTTAAAAGATAAAAATATAAACGTAAAATACGCTTATTAGGTCTTAGTTCTTAAAGTATGCACTTTGGGGTCTAGATTTTCACGTTTATACAAACCTTGTAAGTGTCTGCAACATGTTGCCAAGTATCAATGATGTTCCGTTAGTAATTAAATAGTTATAGGACAAATTTACCATGAATAGATCACTGTTTACAAAGCAATCAAATAACACGACTTTCTAAATGAATTGCATGGTAAAATGTATGCCAATAATTAGTGTATTCATTCAACTATTCACATGCAAAATTTCATGTCATTAAATTCAGTAATTAAAGAAAAACAATCATAATACTGACGAAGCATCGAAAACCTACATAACCCGACCAAGTTCGGATGGCTACAAAAAAGCGGCCGTGCCATATATCTAAGAAACGTTCTTAACTTTCCAATATAGCATTTATTAATATGGTACAGAATCGTACACAAGCGTTAGGAAAAAATAAAACACAGTATCGTACACACGCTCGTGCATGCCTAGTCTATTGCTTAAATAGTCTTATAAAAAATATTGGTTAAATAGTGTAATAAGCTACAATATGATAAATATTTACCTAAACAGTAGTACATACTTACATGTGGTAAATATTTAATTTCCCTAAGGGGTCTATAGTTAGAATCCTGATCCGTGAAATCTTCAATAGAAATTAGCTGTATGAATTTTATTTGTCTTAAATATAATTAGATTATATCTCAAGTCTCAAGCGCATACTTAAATAAAGTACCTACTTTCTGTCATAGTCAAATACATTTAAAAAAGTAGGTGTCCAAAAATAAATGACCTTTAAATTATTTCGAAACAACAAGTGTGTTATCACCTGTACCAAGTCAATACTGGTATTATACTGTAAATTGTGGGATGTTACCTAAATATATTGCACAGCCGCTTTTTTGTAGCCATCCGAACTTGGTCGGGTTATGTAGGTTTTCGATGCTTCGTCAGTATTATGATTGTTTTTCTTTAATTACTGAATTTAATGACATGAAATTTTGCATGTGAATAATTGAATGAATACACTAATTATTGGCATACATTTTACCATGCAATTCATTTAGAAAGTCGTGTTATTTGACTGCTTTGTAAACAGTGATCTATTCATGGTAAATTTGTCCTATAACTATTTAATTACTAACGGAACATCATTGATACTTGGCAACATGTTGCAGACTCCAATGACAGAATGGCTGGCCACTTTCCTCATAATAGTTGGACCTTTATAGGTACCAATTACACGATGTCTGGTATGAAAAATACAAATCGGGACTAGAACTTGGCATTGCTCAAACTTTATATAATAATCTCTTGGTCCGGTCATCCCGACTCAGACAAATAGGTAGTTCAAAACAGGAACAACGGTCACAAATAGTGATTGGCTGCTGCACGTTACTGACGTAACAAAATTAGGGCGTCAGTACGACCTGTTTTATATAATTATTAAATAGTTTTGAATTTGACTAATTTTTGGAAACTACCCTATTCTGGTAGCGGTTTGTTTCCGAAGACAATTCGATATTTGTTTAGGTCGTAGCTCTAACCGACAGGGCCATATCATCAAATAGCATCTCTCGCGTAAGGTCTGGCGATGGAGTGTCAGACTTACTACTTTACTTACTTATTGCTGTTGCTGAAAGTCCCGGCTATCCTAATTTACTCTTCTGAAAAGCTTATTTATTTAAGCTCCTCATCAAGCTGTGTCTAAAAAAAAGCACTTGTTCTTTCTGTTCCGGGTCGGGGTCGGGATAAAGAATAATGATGTGCCAGTGCAACATTATTGCACTGGCATCTAATGAAATATACTTAATAATGTAACACAGATTATGATTGTGAAAGTGTTTGAAAAAGCACCGAACTATGGAGTTTCATGTTCGTAGGTACTTCTCCATAGGAATCAACACTTGAATTAGCATACAACGGATTGACTCACAGATTGACACTTAAAACTTTTTATATTTAATTTTTTTTGACATTCAAAAGTGCTTATATTAGTCTTATTAAAATATGTATGATTTGACTTTGACCATCTCATTTTATAGATCTTGATAGTGATATGTGTTCCTGTGTGTTGGGGCTATCCACGGAGTAAGAACAAAGAGGAGATGTCATAATAAGATTTCCCTAAGAAACACCGCGTGATATTTTGCGGGGTGAGGGGGTATTAGACTCCGCCCACTTTTTTATTTGCCATCTGCCGGTCTATAGCAATACTACTAGCTCATTCAATTTACTTCTTTTTGTAGTTATGTAACTATTTCACAATAGATGTCACTAACGCAACAGGGTCGTACTTGAATTTACCGGGGAGTTGTTTTAAAAAGTTTTTTGTAAATACATTAATTGCGAATTTTTTTTTATCGAAATAGTAATAAATATCTAAAATATCTATTATTGGTGAATGAGAATCATTCTACAATTATCAAAACCATCTTTTACATTTAAAAGGGGTTATTTCGGTAGGTACGGGCGTAGCCTGAAGCAGAAACTCGTATACAATACAACCAAGAGGCTGATGCCCTGCTGATAACTGGTTCTTTGTGATAACGAGTGTTATTATTAGATATGTTCTGTCTTTTCGTCACGCCTAAACTACTGAACCTATTTGAGTGAAATTTGGTACAGACATAGTTTGGAACTCGAGAAAGGACATAGGATAGT